TTTTTTTTTTTTTTTTTTTTTTTTTTTTTTTTTTTTAGTACCGGGGATCGAACTCAGGACCCTATGCTTGCGAGGCAGGCAGCAGAACCACTGAGCTAAATCTCCAGCACTAGAGCTCACCATTTTAAGGGACATTTCTACTTCTGCTGAGAACTGGAACAACATCTGCCTTGCTTTTTGGGTATCCCCTGGCCCAGCACAGACAGGACCTGCTAAGAAGGAGGCGCTCATGAAATGTGCATGGAGAGAAAACTGCTCCCAGAGAAATGCAGGAGTCTGCAAAGGACAGAGTACAGACAGGCTTGATTTAAGGTCAACGCAAAAATAGAGATTTTTTTTCCTTTCATGTTATATAGGGAATCAAGGGAGCCGATGAAATCTAAGTTTCTAATTCAGAGCAACCAGAACAACGATGGCCTTATATTCCACATCGCTTCCTGTGTCTTCTTCTGAGCACAGCGGAGGGCTAAAATGACAGCAGCCATTTACCTTGCTGAGGACCTACTTTCCATGTAGGCAGACACCAAGCCAACTTCAACATGAAACTGTAGAAAATTCCCTCTACCTGTGGCTAAGTAGGTAGCCTTGAGCAATGTCATTTGACTTGCCGCTACTATAGCCTCAAACTCTTTCTTCATCTGTAAACTGAGGGTATTTGACCAGAAAGGGCACCTTTTCTGATATTCTTTGCTATAATTATTCTGGTCTGTTTGATAGAAAATACGACTTAGGATTGACCCACCACAACATAGGCGGTGGCCACTCAGCTTCTGGTGAGAACTGAATGGACCTAGAAGAAACATGGTGTACACACCCTCTCCTTTCAGTTTCCATGGAGCCGTGCGCTGCTGGAACTCTGTGTCTGTGGAGGAAGCTGCAGCACATTTGCTGTAGGCAGTTGCTTCTGTTTCCCCAGCCTTCTTGGGAAGAGGCAGCATGACAATCCGGAGGCTGGTTGGACTTAAAAATGCGAAGACTCATATGATGCTCCCAAACCGGGTATGTGAGAGCCCGGCCACTCACCACTGCTCCTCTGTAAGGGACAGAATACCTGCCCTGCCTACTGTTGGGAGAAAGAAAAGACTCTTTAAAATAGTAAGGGTTCAGCAGCTCTCAGAGGACATGAATCAGACTGGCACATATGAGCTGATATACAGGCAACTTGCAAGGCCTCGCCTGTTCTGTTAAAATAGCTGGTAGGACACAAGAAAATGTGTGCGGCAAATGGCCCATGCTTTGGATGTATAAAGAACTTCTTAAGGATTGTGCATTTCAGGAAATTAAGTTTAAAGCTGGACCTTATACCTGTCTGGGAAGAGGAAGCATGGAATGGCTCTCAAACTACTAAAATTGGAGGCCACAGTCCCACTTGTCTGGGTCTTAAGTTTTTTTTCTCTAAAATGGGTATAACTGGGCTGGGGATTTAGCTCAGTGGTGTCACCACCTGCCTTGTTCAGAGCCCTGAGTCCAATCCCCAGTACTCCCCCACAAAAAAATGGGTATAATTTTCTTGCCTTCTCTATTTTTCCAAAGTTGTCACAGGTCCACCTTAATCAAATGATCAAAAGAAGAAAAAAGAGCTGTTTCTGGATCTATGACCTACTGTAAAGGGCTACACAAGCTAGGTGCCTTAGTCTGTTTCTTGCTGCTATAACAGAATGTCTGAGACTGAGTCATTTATAAAGAAAAGAAATGTTTTTGTCCTTGGCCCTAGAGGCTGAGAAGTCCAAGACCATAGCCCTAGTGACTCCCAGCTTCTGGTGATGCCCTCATGGCCGAGGTGGAAGAGAAATGGCTGTATGCAGAAGAGACAGAACAGGAGGGGTAGCCTCACCTTGTAGCAATCAGCCCTTGCAGCAACTAACCCAGTGCTGTGATAAAGGCATCGATCCCTCTTAATGACCTAATCACCTCCCAACACTGCCACAACATCAATCAAACTTCAGCATGGGTTTCAGAGGGGACAAGCCGAATTCGACTATACTCAAATGATAGCACAGGATCAGCGCTCCTTGGAGGGCCAGATTCTTTGTAGGGCCTGCTCACAATGAATCCTGTCAGCGAGGCACCATCCAGCCTCAGATCTCAGAGTGCAAGGCCTAGACAGACACATCCATGAGCTAGGGCTTCACCTTTCCCCGAAACTTCTCTCTCATCTCTGCGCCAGAGTCCTTCACATTAAATCCCTCCCCTGGAGTACGTGCAGTGCGAGGTAGCTCAGAGCACAAGGTTGTCCAGAAGAAGGTCCCGTAGGGCCTGGAATCCAACCCATCCTCCATCTACCAAGGCACGCACCTGTTCAGGCGTGAGTGCTTTCCTGTTCTTATGGCCGGCCTGCCTTCCAGGCCAGCAGAAAACCAGTTATGAAGGGCTTCCTGGAATGGAAGGGTCGCTCTAACCCTCCTCCCATTAGTAAATGGAAACTGCTTCGGGGAAATGAAATGCCATCCAGTGGAATGTACACGTGTGCACATGCGAAGGTGGTGTGTGCACGCCCAGCCAGGAAGTCCAGTGACAGCCTTGGGAGCTGGAGGCTCCACCAGTGCTGGAGAAGGGGCCTGGCAACCTTCAGGGATCTGGGAGAAGAAACGTAAACAATAGTTTCACCGATACAAACCTGCATGACCTTAAAATCTTGCTGAAGGGCAGCCTTCCAGCCCGGGCGGCAGAGGAATAACCCCAGTGCGTGCTCATACTATGGAAGGAAGCTCAGGACATCACCCCCTGACCTCTAAGATGACCCCTGGGCCACAGCCCAGAACACTTGCCAGGGCACTTGCACCCCTCCTCTTTGGCAGTGTGATTAGAACTTTGAGCACTGCTGGTCACTTTGTTCAAACATAAATACGCAGGTATGGTCCTTTCAAAGTCACTGGCGAGATGGTGCTCTCATGGACTCGAGTGACTCCTGTGCCCCTCCACATGAGACATCTCACTGCTTGGGGCTTAAGGCTCCTCCGGGGAGTTCTGGGAACTGGGTGCTGGGCAAGACAATACATACAGGGGGCAGGCCATGCCCTCGTGGGGGGGGGCAGGTTGGCCTTCAGGAAGGACAGCACAAGAACCCACAGGCACAGCTTTCTATAAGCTTTGGAGATGCCAGCTCCAGCACAAAGAGCACAGTCACCTTACAGGCGGGGCCTGTGGCCAAGCAGGAAGCCCAGCTTCTAGACCAGCTGCAGGGCACCAAGGGAGGCCTTCATCTGCGAGCCATGAAGGCTCTAACCCTTCCTCATATGCCTCCCTTGGAGCCTAGGAAACTTACCCTTGGGAGAAGGAAGAACAAGAAGACATGTACGGGCAAGGGGCACACCCTCTGTGGAATGAAACACTCCCGGCTGTAGTCCTTGTTGGTCTGGAGAAAAGCCCAGAAGTGAATCCTTCAAACATTTTCAAATGGTTCCTTCAATTTGGATGTAAAAATTGATCTGAAAGGCAAAGTATCACCTCTTTCCAAGAATGGATATAATGTTATCGCCATAGCGCACTTGATTCTTCTAGCCCCTTATTACAGCCCATTTGTGTTTCTCATACTTTTGCCTGGGCTGGGGATTTGGCTCAGTGGTTCCGCCACCTGCCTCTCAAGTGCAAGGGCCCGAGTTTGATCCCTGGTACCACCAAAATAAAAAATAAAAAAAAGCTATCTTACAATACTTTTGTCTGTGTTTTTTGATATCTTTGAATATTCACAGGATATTGTGAAAAAGAAAAAAGAAACACTCATCCATGCTTTTGAAGTCGTCTCAGTGGGTGATTCTCTGTCTTATTAATTGGGTTTCTTCTTGGGGCTCTCAGATCACCATGGCATAGGTCCCTCCAACATTTGTGGGGTCCAGTGAAGGAATCCAAAGGAGGCCCACATGCAAAGGTCTAATATTTTAAAATTATAGATCAGCCTAACAAACTTTAAAAAAAATGCATACTCACTGTGACCTAGAAAACCAGGTTGTAATTTAGAATTCTCACCCTTCTCTGAATTCTGCTACACAGAGGATGTCCACCCCCAATTTTCAGTCCTGGACTCATAGACTTCGCTTCCCATCCAAGCTAAAATTGAAAGAAGAACGAAAATGGAAAGGGTCGTCTATGAGGCAGGCCAGTGGGCACTGGGGGACAAGGTTTCTCAACCCCTTTTCCCCAAGATTGTCAGAGCTTCACAGCCCCCAGTTTGTGAAAACATTGCTTCTGAAGACCCCATTCTTTAGGGCCGTTTGACTACTTCTCCTTGGTGAGCTGGCCCTCCTAGGACCTTGGCTCACTGTTTGATTTGGGGCAACTTTCTGACTGCCACAGGCCTCAGCTGCCTCAAAAGTTCCTCAGGTGAGCCTTGTGAGAACCAAAGATGATGATGCAAGGCCCAGAATACAGTCGGTGATTAGAAAGGATCAGTATTCCTTTCCCAGAATGGGAGAGTGAGAAAAAGAATGGCTGTTGGAACCAGAGCCACCTCATCATCTTCCTTGCAGAATAATGTGCTGCTTCTCCCCCTGAGGACAGGGACCTTGGCACAGCATGCCAGCTATGTGACAACTTAGAGCCCCAACTGTTGCCCAGCCAACCAGACCACACACTCAGGCCCCCATCAAATATTGATGTCAGGTATAATGTCTCTGGAACACGATACACCACTTCTCAAATGAGATCCTGCCCTTCCATGACCCAGAGGAGGGCGAGAGCTTTTCATGGCCCATAAGCAGCTGCACAACTGGTGAGTTTTGCTGTTAGATGGGGACAAATTCACACATGCCATCCTTTTTTTAAAAACAGGATGAAAGATGCTGACTTGCGTATGTCTTCTGGCCATGGTAGGCCCCTGTCTGTTTCACAGTTTTCAAAATTTCTTACAGGAATGCATGAGGGCCTTTACCAACCAGTCACAGAACTCTTCATGGCAGGGTATGGGCCACTGCAGTAGAGGGAGGAAAGCCCCAGCTATGGCTGCCCCTACCAGATCCAGGTTTAGCCCCAAATTTCGCCCCTTGGTCAGCTTGATGCAGCTTCAGAAGAAGAGACCTTTACCTAATAACCATAAAACAAAAGCCTGGAATGTTAGACGTCCCTCGCCTTAAAATGGCCGTTACTCCCCTTCCCATAATGCCCTGCTTTTCACTTAAAAAGATGGCTTCCCCCAGCTATCAAAGGACATCCTTCTTCTTCCTGTGATGCCTCTTCTCCGCCAAAGGGTAACAGGTACTCGCTACCTCCAAGGAACCAGTGATGTCACAAGCCCCGCCTAGTGATGTCACAGGCTCCTCCAATCCCTTAATATTACCTCACTTAACTCCACCCCAGCTCCTATAAGTCCCACCCCAGTCCTATAAAAGAAGCTCTCTTTCTGCCATATTGCTCTCTCTCCTTTTATCAGAGACAGCTGGGCAGACTGTCCCTACAATAAAGGCTTGTAGTAGTTTAAAAAAAAAAAAGGGGGCAAAAGATCCAGGCTCCCATTTTTGGAGTTTTTCCAGCTGTCCTATCCCAGCTCCTCCAAATGGGAAAGAAAGGAGATTAAAAAGGGCAGCAGAAGCATCGGCTGTGTGCCAGAGGCTGAGTAAAGGGCTCTGACTGCCAATTTTACAGAATCCCTACAGGATCCCCACTGGGCTGGGGGTGTGGCTCCTAAGTATGGATGGAGGACTGAAATGGGTGGAATTCATTAGGTTCCTCCAGTGAATAATATAGAACTTTTGTTCCTGCGGGTAAGACTGGTGCACATCCTGGTGCCACTCAGGAAATAAAGGACATAGGAAGGTCCCAGGCCACATAGCAGCACCACTTTCCTCAATTGCTTCATCAGAGAAATTAAGGAATAAATCCTTATAGTTTCTCAGAGACCAGCTAAGTCAAAACTGGGAGTCCTCTCAGCTTCTGCCAAGCAATCACTGACCATGTCTCTTCTTCTGCTCCTAGTAGTCGCCTTTGTCTCTTCCTCTACCCATCACATCCCTCCTCCAAGGCAACAGATTCCTAACTGCTTGGGGGCTGGAAGGCAAAAAAGAAATAAAATACTGGGGTGGGGGGAGTTGACTCATACAAAACTGTTTTCTAGCCACATCTGCATCATACAATTATCTACACTTATACAGACACGTACGAGGAAGAGCCAAGAGTGAGTTTAGTAATTAAGGGAGGTCTTAGCACAAGTGAACCCTGACCAGCAAAGAGGAGAGAAGATAACTATGTCTACCAAGCAAGCCATGGAATAACATTACCCCTCCCAGCGCTAGAGAAATAGAGAGAGAAGGAGGTGAGTTGTTTGTTTCATGCTCATCATTTTCCTTGCAGAATAATGTGCTGCTTCTCCCCTGAGGACATGGACCTTGGAACAGCCTGCCAGCTATGTGACAACTTGGTGGGACGATGAAAGCCATTCGCTCTTGAGCACCTCCTATGTGTCGGCCAAGAACAAGACACTTGGGGGTACAGAGCAGGTCTCCTCCTGCAAGACCCCAAGAGGCCAGAGACATAGGTTGTGGACATGTGGATGGTGACCATCCCTGTGTAGTCCAGCTTTTGGGAGGAGCCAGCCCCTCCCTCAGGCTGAGGCTGGGGCTTTGTGAAACTCTCAGCTGTCTTACCGGCTCCACAGGTTTGGCTCTGAGAGTCAAGAAACATGAGTAGGCCAGGGATTGCTTGGCAAGGTCAAGAGAACTTCTGGAGTTTTGACTTTGTTCAACTCTGTGACTAACCCTCACAGAAAGGGAGGCAGCTAAGCAGGCCTGGCTCAAGAAGTGAACCCAGGATCAGACCTCCCATGTCTAGTTCTTTAGTCCACGTGACCAGTTCAGGATGAGGGAACAACTGGCAAGTTTGCCAGGTGCCTCAGGACAGAGTCCCTCACCCTCACCCTCTGGAAGCATTGCCCAAGTTTGACTTCTCTATTCTGAGTGGGGCCAGATGTACACATGAGGCCAAGAACAGCTGAGACCATTTTTCCCCTGAGGAAAATCAAGCTGCAGATGAAACAGGTCCCACAGGAGGCAGAGCAGAGACAGATTTTGAAGAGGGTGGTGTCATATGTCGAATCTTCCTGAGCACTTGTCTAGACCCAGAAGTGAAGTGGCGGGGGATGGCCACATCCTGGGACCTTGAAAGACACCCATTCCTACATGAGGAAACTTCAAAGGAAGGCAAATGGAATCCAAGGGCCAGGGTGGCCTTGGTCACTAAAAAATGTCACACAGTGAAAGAGCTCTGAGCTTTGGCGTCCCAGTGGCTTGGGCTTGAGTCATTACCAGTTAATTTAACCTCCAAGGGCCTCACATTTCTGAAACTGAAAATTGGATACAAACATGCCTACCCCAGAAGGTGGCTGTAAGGACTCAAAAGCATTTGGAGGGGCCTGGCATGCAGCCTCCCCCATCACCTGTTGTGCCTGGGCCATGTGCTGGAGTCCCAGCTGTCCAGACAGATGCCAGGGACATGTGTCCTCAAGAGCCAGTGGCTCACAGGGAGAAGGACAGAGAGGAGCTCACAGGCGGAGAGCTCCGGGCCGAGCACCTGCTCAAGGGAAGGCTGGGCACACCGAAGCTGTCCTGAGCATTTGTCCTATTTTAAGTCTCCCCCACTCAGGTCTCTGTTTACACGCAGGGGACCACTCTACTCTAGGCATAGGCCAGGAGGGAGGCCAGGAGCTGTATATCACATTCACCAGCTCCCGGAACCTGTGATTTCCTGAGCCTGCAGAGCTCCAGTCCTTACAGCCAGGAGAGAAACCCTGCCTCCCAGCATGACTCACACATTCTTCTGGGTGGAATGCCTTTTTATGGCAAAGTCCTGGGGGCTGGGACTTAATTAACTCTTTATAAACCCAACAAAACACCGCAGGGAAGAAGCATTCTTCCCCTAGCCTTGGAAAGCCTGAATGCCAAGGAATTTGGTGCAATTCACCCTCTCCTCCAAGTGATGTCCTGAGGTGCCAGTTAACGAGCAAGAGGATCTGTCTGAGTACCTGGGGACAGGACTGGAGAATTCTGGGCAGAAAGAGGGTGTCTGCATTGTTGGGTTTGAATTCTGGCAAAAATCCTGCATGATCAACATGTGCAAAGCACATGCAGGGTTCACAAGGCTGGGGCAGACGCTATTCTGGATTGAAGAAAGTGTCTAAGAGCAGAGAACGAATAGTGTACATGAGGGTGAACACAAAGGAGCAGGTACTCATCTGAAAGGAGGGGGTCCCTGGACCGAGGAGCACTCATAAAAAGCCTTGTTTCTCAGCAAGGCCCAGATGGAAAAAAAAAAAGAGCCAGATGCAGCTATGAGGATCCTCTCTCCCCTCCCATGACCTCAGCTGGCCGCAGTCAAATGTGGGAGATGATCCTCGCTTATCTGTGACAAACCTGCTGAGCCTGTCTGCTGGGCTGGCCTATTTAACCCCGCCTGCCTCATCCGGAGTAGAAGGCTAGGAAGGAAAAGCCAGTTTGAATCATGTCACTATCCCTCTGTCCCTCGCCTTCAGTAATCCATGGCCGCTTCCCACTGCCAGACTCCTATTTAAACTTCTCAGCCAGTGCCCTTCACTATCTGACTCGATGTACCCTCCACTCTCACCTCCAGGACTCATGCTGACCCCTTCCTTCACCTGGAACACATTGCCCTGAATCCGCTGTGGAAATCCTGCCCACTTTCCGGTCAGCCTCAAATACCCTTTCCTCTAGAGACTTCCCTGGTCCACCGACAACCCCCCTGTTCCTGTCAACCCCACCTACCTTCTGGATTGACCTCTGTCTGCCTCCTCTGACTTCCCCACATTTTATACCTGCCTGGTGTCACTTGTCACACTCCATCTAGACCAAGCCTCTTCTCCAGTTAACTTGGCTGCTTCTGAGATTGAAGTCTTTTCTCTCTCTCACCATGCAAGTTCCACCCATGAATGTTCTCTCCCTTAGTGCACGGCCTCATTGCTACAGCTGCTACCGATTCAAATCTTGGGCCCCAAACCCTAAAGCTCAAGATCATATCACCCCACAGCCTCTGAGTCTTGGAGTTTGTACCTGCAGTTAGCATTTCCAAGTCAGCACGGTATAGCCCCCAAAGTACCTCAATTCTTTCTGCATACAAATCCAAAGCAAAAGCATTTTCCTCCTCCTAGACTTTCCTAGTGCTACCCAGCATCTATAGGGCTATCAAAAATCAGGCTCCCAAAGGCTGTGGTCATTTGTGAAATAGGTAATCTTAGAATTCATCCCTGGATGACCTTTTGTTCTGCCCAGGCCTGTCTTGGCTCCAGTCTTACCCTGGCACCCACCCACCTCCTTTAGTGCCAGATATAGAAGAGCCCTCTTCCCCGGTTGCTGTTCACTAGCCTTAGAAGTGGGCCCCTCCCTGCGTGTCTTCAGGATGGAGCAACAGGCAGTGCTTGTCCTCACACTGTCCCCCAGTCATGATAGGACCTGTGCCTTCCAGACATGGCTCCAACACATTGCAGCTGTTTTCCAGCTGGGAAGCCCGGGATCAGCTTCAAGCTTTCCCTCTTCCTCAGGGCCAGACCCATTCGGGTATAGTGACTCTTGCATCTCCTCTTAGGTTCCATCACCCTGCTCTGTCATCACCCTCAAGCACCGCTCACCTACCCATTCCTCACTCCCTGTGAGGCCCCCTCAGGTAAGGCCTGGTGTCTATTCTAGCCCTAATCGCTTGGCTTAGGAGCTTACGTGTCTCCCTTCACTGTGTGGATGGAGATGGGTTCATCTCTTGCACACCCTAAGAACTGGCAAAGTTCTCTCATCTACAATAGCTACCCAATAAATGCAGATACACTGCCTCAGTGCCTGACCGCCATGTGCGAAATCCAATGTGAAGTTCTCATAACCCCTGCCCCTTGGTTATGAACATTCAGGATGGAAAACGGTAGAGGACACCAAGGGAGAGGTCCAGACTGAGTGCTGCAGGACTTCTGAGGAAGAAGACGTAGCCCAACAGCACATGATAAAAACAGTAGCCAAGGAGGAGCAGGAGCGGGGAAAGAAGGGACAGTTTGAAAGGAACAGTGCATTGTTAATAAGAGACAGTGGGGAGCCCTGGCTGGAGGAATAGGCTGAAGTTAAAATGCTAACGCCAGTAAATACCAGGCTAACAGCAATATCTTCAGCTAATTTTTCTTGAACACCTGCTAGATACCAGATGCTGTTTGGGGGTTTTTTTTGTTTTGTTTTGTTTTTTGTACCAGGGATCGAACTCAGGTCCCTGCACTTGCAAGGCAGGCGGTAGAACCACTGAGCTAAATTCCTAGCACCAACATGCTGTATCTCATTCATGGGTTATCTCCTGGACTTTTTACAACACTTTGAGGTGACTTCGATGAACACAGTGAGGGTATGGTTATGTCCACTTTACAGATGAGCACACTGGGGCCCAGAAAGTTTATCTTATTTGCCCAGGATCACACAGTGATTAAATAGCAGAGCAGGGATGCAAACCCAGAGCCTGTGCTCTCAGCCACCACCCTCTACAGCCTCTCGGCTGACAACATAGTCTCTGCAAGGTGGTCTTGCCTTCTGCTAGCCTGTTTTTTCCCCTCAGCATCTCGTTTCATGCCCAAACACAACAGATCTTCCCTAAAGATACACTGGACTTTAAATAACTGGCCAGGTATGCAGGTCTGAGGCTCCGCTGTGTGCACAGGCCCATCACCTACAGCACACATTAGGTAACTGGGTCATGTTCCCGTGACAGAGCTTGGAACCTCATGGGCTTTGTGTCCTTGCCAGATGGAAGTCACTTCTCTGGATTCAAAGCCCAAAAATGCCACCTCTTGCCTGAGGAATGCTTAACCTCAACTGTAAAATAAGACCAGCAATACCTATTCCTCAGTGTGGTTGTGAGACGGTATAGAATGTTTTTTGTATTTCATGAAATATCAATATAAAGTCATAAATTCTGCAGGACACAGGGCTAGTTTCAAGTTACATGACTTTGAATGAACTGCCGAACCTCTGTTCTAATCCGAACTCTTCCCTCCTCATATTCATTTTTAAGAATTTAAGAATTCCTTGATCAAGCCGCTGGGGTGGAGCATGCCTGGGAGGCTGAGGCAGGAGGATTGTCCTGTCTCAAAACAGACAAACAAAACAAAACAAAAAAAAAGGATCCACGATCAACTAAATCTCAGAAGCAGCCTGTATCCAGCCATAGATGAAGGAAATGTGGTATGAATATACAATGGAGTACAAACTCGAGTCATGCGTACAACAATGGATACATCTTGAGACCATAATGCTAAGTAAAATAAATCTGACACTGAAGGTTAAATACCGCGAGGTTTCTGTTATTGAGAAACCTAAAACAAAGAATTTAAAGAGTAAAATGAAAGATACACAATAACAGAGGCGAGGGGTTAGACTTTGCGGAGATGAAAGGGGGATTTAGGGATATGGGAGAGAGGAGGGCTGGGAGGGGAAGGGTAGTAAAAATTATTAAGATGTGATATTTCTGTGTACCGATTCCCCAAAATGAATATAATCGCTGTGTATCACAAACATATACTAATAAAAAAGGACTTCGCATGCTAAAATAAGCAGACAAATAAATAAATATCCCATGATCCAACTTGCCATGCCCATCTCTGCCCCTCCACTACTCCCAAGCTCTGGGAACCAATTTCTCTCTCAGCCCTCACAGCCCCAGTGCCTGCTACTCAGGAAGACTCCATTCTCTCTTTTTCTGGGCTATCATTTCAGATGATCTGCACACCTAGCTTTCCCTCTGAACGAGAGGTCAGTCAACTCTCTCTACAAATGTCCAATAATATCTTGGGCTTCATTGGTCAGATGGCCTTAGTTCCAACCACTCAACTCGACAGGTGTAGCAGGAAAGCAGCCATGATGATATGTAAATGAATGAGTAGGGCTGTGTTCTAATAAAACTTTATTTACCAAACAGGCACTGGGACAGAAGTGACCCTCTGGCAACAGTTTTCCCATCCCAGCTGAGACTGCTGACTTTCTCAAGTACTGACAAGATGTGTTCATCTTTGCATCCTTATACTTGTAGCCTTGAAGGTAAGCACAGAGTTTAACTCCAAGATGTCTCAAATAATAAATAATAATAATAGTTAAGTAGACAGAGGGATGGATGGATAGATAGCAGTAATCATAACGGTGCCTTTTTATGCCTTATAGGTTGCAAAACACTTGGAACCCTATAAGGTAGATATTTATTATTCTGCTTTACAGGTGAAGAAGATGAGAGATGAAGCCATCTGCCCAAGCCCGGATAGGTGGTAACAGAAGGCAGGAGCTCTTTGCAAAGCACCACACCACATGGGATGGACTTATAAATGTTAGTGGTCAACCATGAGTGACAAGGGTAAGCTAGATGTCTTCCAGCTCACCCAGCACATCAGCCAAGGGTCTCAAAAGTCCTGGCCTGGCCTCTGGTGCAGTCAGGGGCTGCCAGCTAGGGGAAGGGGAGGTACAGTTTCGCCTGCTCCTTTGTCTTCTCCTGGCCTCCTAGGAGTTCGGGCCTGCACACCAGCTTTGCAGCAGCATCAAGAGACCTCTGCAAACGTAAGCAAAGCTGCCCAGGGCGGGACTGTTTTGAGCACCACTAGTCCATTCTCTCTCTGGAGACCAGAGCGGCAATGGCTTTGGGTGGCTTCCGGGCTGCTGAAGAGGATCCTCATCCTAGACTTGGCAAGAATCTAAAGGAATCTACGGGGGGAGCAGGAGGTGGGGTCAAGGGCAGTAAAAACGACTAAGATGCATATGTACATGCACCAATTCTCCGGGATAAGTGTAATTATTATGTATCACAAACATATACTAATAAGAAAGGGGGGAGGCAGATCTGAATTCAGTTACCCAATTTCCTATTCCTCAGCCTTGTGTTAAATCAAGGGAGGATCCCAAGCCTTAAAAGGGCAGCGACAGAAGGAAGAAAGCAGGTTGAGGGAGCAGAGTTTAGGAAAGAAAGGATCAGCCCCTCTAAGGAAATGATCTCAGGTGGGGACTGATGGGAGGAGCCCAGCTTTGGGCGTGTGCAATAGATATAAGAAGGCCGGCAGGTGCCTGACAGAATTAAAGGGCTGCATGTCCAGAGCCTCAGGAGCATTTTGGCCGAAGCAACGGAGATGCGGTTTCAGATAAGTTCCCCAAAGCTGGGGTCAGGAGGTCTGGAAGCCAGGAAACCATGAGGAGGCTGTCCTCGTGGCTGAGCCATTCAGAAGACCTGAAGAAGCGGTGCGGACAGCTGGGGAGCAGACAAGGTTCCACTCGATCTGGGCCAGCGCTACCCGTGAGCTCTACCTGTCCCTTCTACTTCCTGCATCCTTTCTCTCCTCTGATGTCGCTACACACAGGCCCTGTGCTACACGCGGATACAAAACTGTCCCACTCCGTCTTCCGCATTTCCCTTCTGCTTTCTTCATGCCTCTCAGCACCAGCTCCTTGCTTCCCCCACATCCTCCTTTGTGTGAGTTTCCAGCAGCAACGCAGGGGCCGAGGCCTGAATCCCTGTCTTCTCCCCAGAGCAAAGGACAGGGTTTGGGCAGTCACTGAAAGCCAGAGAGAGGATGACTCACTGTGCATGGGAACCTCAGAGCTCAAACTGAGAAGCCGCATCCCAACAAGTGTTCAACTCTCCTCCAAGTAGTTAAAAACCTACACAGCACCCAACCTCAACACATAGTAATCTAAAACAAAACAAAAAGAAACACGCTATCGCCTCTCAGGTAAATATCAGAGATCTCACCCCCCTCAGAGGGCCTCTAGACTAAATTGTCCTTTGCTCAGATTGCAACCAGGTAAACAGAAACCACTTTAAATCTTTATAAGAGTTGGGTATTTAAAGCAGAGAACTGGTAACAGGAGTACAGTGGATCTGGGAAGTCACCAGGGGGAGAGACCATAACCACAGCAGCTAGAAGCAACCTCCACCCCAAGAGCTTTCGAGAAAGAGCAACAGGAAGTGGTGTCCCCGCCCAGGCAGCTCCACCTGCCAAGAGCCAGAAGCCAGGTGGACCTACCCTGTGCGGATCCTAGACACCGAGATGGTCAGCACCAGAAACATCACCAAGCGTGAGAGGCGGGGGCAGTCCCCTAGTTTCCCCCTTCCTCCTGCCCTCTCATTCCTGACCAGCACCTCCCCTGGATCAAACTCAGCCAGAGCTGCTGGCCTGACCTGAGGGGTCAGCTCTTCTGTGGCTCAGAACAAGAGATGGGCAAGACATAGATAGGGGAGCAGATGGGATCAGCCAGTTTAGCTTTTACCCTGTCTTATCCATGTCTTATCCTGTGCCTTGCCAAGCCTGCAGAAGTCTGCCTTTGATCCATGAGATTGGGGCTGGAATCAAAGGCCAGGGACTTGCATCCTAGTGGGCAGGTATCACTTCATCCTCCCCGCATCCTTGAACCTTGGTTCCTGGGTACGCACACTTACTGGTTCCCATCATGTGACCCGTCCGTCCTTCCTTCTTCCCTTCCTTTCCCACCCACTCATCTGGTCAGGTATGGGTGGCTCTGTGTGTCAGGCACTGTGCCGAGTGTTGGGGACATGTTGGAGTAAGAAGTACCGCCCTCACGCAGACTCCTCTCGTGGCAACCTCCCATAAACAGCCCCCCCAGTGGGGCCACACGTGCACCCCAGAAGTAGGCACCAGGGGGTGGGTGGCCCAGGGGAAGGTATAGTTGGCGGGCAAGAAAGACCTCCAGAGAAGCCTGTGTTAAAGCTGAGCGTTGATGAACATTTCACAGCTAAGTGAGCCCGTGAAAGGTACGCCAGTCAGAGGGGAGAGGGTGTGCAGAGACAGGGAAGCTAGAAAGAGAATTCCATCTGGTGGGCAGCGCGAAGGCGTGGACAGGTGACATCAGAAGCAGGCTAGTTGCTGGAGGACCACTCAAGGTTATTCCACCTGGAGCGCTCAAAGAGTTGTAAGCAAGAGAAGCAATATCTATCATTTGGGCTGCTATCGCAAAACTCCTCATAGTTCTGGGGACCAGGAAACCCCAGCTAGAGGCAATGACAAAGTTGGCATCCAGGGAGAGCCTGCTTTCTTCTCCTAGACAGCGCTTTCTTGCTGTGTCCTCACGAGCTCCCCTGGGCCTCTCTGCTCCGGGCTTTCATTCCCCCCAGGAAGGCCACACCTTTCTGGCCTCACCCCTGGCCCCACTGGTGACCTCAGGGGGGTTAGGGTTTCAATGTAAGAAACTGGGGTGGGGAACGCAGACATTCAGACTACAGCCTGAGGCTTGTCGGCACTGAGCGTTAGCAATCACTCAGGCCGGCTGTAGAGAAGGACCGGAGGTACCTGCCTGGAGAAAGTTACGCTTTTTTGCAATAAATCAGCTGTCTGGGGCTCAGGTTGCTAAGCTAGGGGAAAGAGGAACAGCCCGCGTGGCCCGCTAAAAGGAGCTTTGGGGGAGGCGAGTGTAATCAGTCAGGTTGACCCGGGCTGTGGGCAGGGGAGGGAGCTGCTCCGCCTCCAGGAAGGGCTCACAGGTTCAAAGGTTCAAATCCCCGAGGCACCTGGCTGGGCCCCGCTGTTACTCACCCAGCACGGCTGCCTTTGGGACTGCAGTTTCAGCGAGCCTTTTAATGCATGCGTGGGTCGTGGAACTGCCAAGGTCTTGAGTGGATAATTTGCCCCCGGAAAAGTGAATGTGAAGCAGCACAGCCTCGTGCTCCCAGTGCACACTGGGGCTGCGGACCGGGACTGGGACGGCTCTACTCTGGTTCCCTGTGTGTGCTGAGTAAGAGCTGCAAGTCTTGTGGCAGCCACCTCCTGCCTCCCACCTTCTCTCACGGGCACGCGTGCCTGGCCTCTGCCAGCTCCACTAGAGACCACGAGAAGGAGGCAGCCTCAAACTGAAAGATAGGACGGTGGTGAGGCACCAAAAATATAGAACCAGAGGAACAACAGACTGGACACTGGGATTCCATCTACTGAGCTGGGGGAAAGCGAGGGAAGGTGAAGTCACGACCTAATTGAGAGGGTGCTGTACTGTGGAAGATGGTATGGCTGTGCCTGAAATAATTAAAAATACAATTCCCACCTGATTTGGGTGCAAAAGAATTGAAAGCAGCGTCTTAAGGAGATACTTGTATTCCCATGTGTACAGCAGATTTATTCATAGCGAAAGCACAGAAGCAAAGCAGTGTCCGCTGCTGGATAAATAAACAAAACGGATATACATACAATGGAATATTACTCAGCCTTAAAAAGGGAAAATGCTGACACATGCTACGAGATTAGTGGGCCTTGAGACATTATCCTAAGTGAAAGAAACTGTCTCAAAAGGATAAATACCATGAGTCCACTTTGTTTGGAGTACTTAAAATATGCAAATCATAGAGACAGAAAATAGAATGGTAGTTGTGAGGCTAAAGAGAGAATGGGAGTTTAATGGGGTCATAGGTTCAGTTTTATAAGATGAAAACCCTTCAGAGATAGTTGGAAGTCATGGTTGTACAATATTATGCAAGTATTGTCACTGAACTATAAAGTTAAAACGGTAAATGTTACCTCATGTGTATTTTTCCATGTTATGGTTTAGATCTAAAATGTCCCCTAAGTCTCACGTGTTTAGAAGTGATTGGATCACGGGCTCCTCCATCCGTAGGTTCATTAACTACAGGTGCTGGTAGGAGTGGGGCTTGGTTGTAGGGGGATCGTTGTGGGCGAGGCCTTGCCCTGGCTCCTCCCTCTCTGCATCCCGGCAGCCCTAGGGTGAGCAGCTCTCCTCACCAGGCCCTTCGGCCCTGCTGTTCCACAGAATCCTCTGAAAACCCATGAGGCAAACTAAACCTCTCCCCCTTTAAGTTGCGGGTTTTAGGTATTTTGTCCCAGTGACAGGAAAGAGACTAAGACATACCGCAATTTTTTTCTAGATTTTTTAACTGCGAAAAAGCAAGAAAAGAGTTTGACAGGAAATGTAAACCAAGTTACAAGGGCTGCACCTGAAAACAATGAATCAAAGCTTGAGACAGAGACAGAGACAGAGACAGAGAGAGAAGAGGAGAGAAGCTGGGGGGGTGAAGTGGTAAATGACCAAGGTGGGGAGGATCTAGGAAAAGAAACAGATCCCATTTCACATCCCCTTGAGCTCTCGCACTGAGCAAAAAACAGGGAAAGCATAGACCTGCAGGTCTCCTCACCCCCAGTGGCTCCCTGGTCCCAGGTCTCTAACTGTGCCTCACTTTTTTCCTCTGTAAAATGGGGATGATCTGTACCTTGCAGACTTGTCAGGGTTAGTAACATATGAGGTGCTTAGAACTGTGCCTGGCACATGGTAATTACTCAAGAAACATTAATTATGATGGCTTTCATTATTGTCACCTGCTCATTATTTTATGCTCCAAGTGTGAAATGTATGGTAGAGAAAGTGGAGCTGAAGGAGGCCAGATTCTTATCAGAGACCGCATAGCAATTGCATGTGGAAGCCAAGATTCACACTCACGTCTGCTGGTTCTTTCCATGGTGTCAAATCCATCTCTCTTGGTTTGTTGTGTCCTCGAAAATACTGTAATCTATGTGGAAAGCGACTGTGGGCTGGTGGGCCAAGAACAGGATATAGAGTCAGAGCGCCTGGATTCCAGGTTCTACTTGCCAATGACGTGACCTAGGACAAGTCAGTTCCACCCTCTGGACCTCAGCTTCCCTGTGTAAGGTGGGTAACAGCACTCGAATCTGAGGGTTTTTGTGTCCTTGTAATAATAAAGCCGTAACAGTGAAAATGCTGACACAGTGCACAT